GTGTCTACCCCTTCTTCCTTGCCGATGAGAGAAGTGGCTGCAGAGTCCCCATCACAACAAACACAATCGAACCAACAACAACAACAAGAAGAAGAGTATGAGGTGGAGTTACACCGGATTCATAGAGATACACTGAAGGTTTCCCAAAAACTCACTGCACTGCGTCAGGAACGAGATGAGCTTGAAACCATGAAAGAATGGTGGAGAGCAAAGGCAGAAGAGGAAATAGAGGAAGAAGAAGAAGATGATGATGATGATGAGTTTAGTCAAAACACTGATGTTGGATGGGAAGAGACGGATAAATGGAGAGACATACTGCAGAATGCCCTAGAGGAGGAAGAGTCTATGGCCCGACAGTCTCTTTACGCTATGGAATTAGCCGCAAGAAGGGAGGACTGTGAATGGGAATGGTGTGTGCAGTCACACCTCAAAGGATGTGCATACACTGGCAGTAACCCACATCTACATCAACAACAGAATCAACAACAACAACCAGAACAGCCGGAACCGTTGCTACTGAGTATGAAAGAGCAGCGGTGTCGAGATGCAGTGTTGCGTGAGATTGAGCGACTCACACGCCTAAAAGCAGCTGTGCGGCACGAGATGCACGAAATGCGTCTGCAAGGCATCACAGGCGAAAATGCCTTGAGGCAACAATTAGAAGCATTGCGAATAGAGTCTGTTAGACTAGAGCAGCAGCATCAGACATACACCGCATTGGATGAATGTGGGGAAACAGCATTAGAGAAGGAGAAAGTGGTATGGTGGCGTACATCTCAGTTGTTGGAAGCGTGTCTACGAGTTGATGCTCCTTTCATTCCTGCTGATAATGTCACTCCCACCGTTACCGTGACTGACTGGCGAAGTGCTGCACACAACCTGATGCTGCAGCTGCAACGTGTGAGGCACGATATGACTGCTGTGAAGGATGAATTGGAAGAACTGCAGCTGAAATGTACGGACCTGGAGAGGCAGACAGCTGCAGAGGAAGACCGATTAGAAGCCATCATGCTTGAGAAGAAGGCACTCCAATGGTATGTTCATGCTTATGGGCAAGATGTCTGAGGATTTTATTTGTTTGTGTTATCGACCTTTTTGTTTTCATAGGGTTTCTTCTGTGAGTAAATAATCATTCTTCTGCTTATTTTATCGTTGTTGCTATTTGTTATAACTCTCTTGTATTCAAGGGGGATGCCGTTATTTTCTGTTATTTCTTTTTTATTGAATCTTCTTTTTTCGCCACAGTTGTGAGGTAAGAGAGTAACACTAACAAAAGAAGTAATGGTGGCAATACGTCATGTGCTTTGTGTCCTCACTGTCGCATTGTGGTGTGCGTGCAGTATTGTGGTAGCTGCTCAAGATGAAGTGCAACTTGGTGGTGCTCAGGAGATTGTTGCTCCTCAGCTTGCCGATGCTGCTGTTCAGGAACCAGGTG